TGCAGTTGCCTTTTGCCAGGCCTGCAAGTTAGAAGGATCGGTCCAGTTCAGTATATACCTTCGACCATCCGGTGTCGATCTCCGATCCGCTTCTCTATCGTCCGATCCTCCGGATCTATCCCAAATTCCTTCGGACTATCACGAGTTTGCGGATGTCTTCGACAAGGGAAAGGCTGGTCAGCTTCCTCCACATCGTCCTTATGATCTAAACATAGATCTGGAAGAAGGAACTAGTCCTCCCCTCGGAACTATCTATTCTCTATCCCCGGTCGAGCTTGCAGCCCTCCGGAAGTTTCTTGATGAAAATATTGCCTCTGGACTCCTCCGCTCCTCATCCTCTCCTCACGGAGCTCCGGTCCTATTTGTCAAGAAAAAGGACGGATCCCTCCGCCTTTGTGTGGATTTCCGTGGACTCAACCAGATTACTAAGAAAGACCGATATCCATTACCCCTCATTGCCGACCTATTAGACTCTCCGAGCCGTGCTAAAGTCTATACCAAAATCGACCTCCGATCCGCTTATCATCTTGTCCGGATAGCGGAAGGGGACGAATGGAAGACTGCCTTCCGAACGCGCTATGGCTCCTATGAATGGTTGGTGATGCCGGAAGGTCTCACTAATGCTCCAGCAGCATTCCAGCGCTTTGTCAATAGCGTGTTTGCTGATATGCTGGATGTATGCGTTATCGTATATCTGGACGACATCCTCATCTATTCCCATGACCTTGCGTCCCACAAGCAACACGTCCGAGAAGTACTCCGTCGACTCCGTAAACATCGTCTCTATGCCAAACCCGAAAAATGCGAATTCCATTCCACTTCCGTTGAATATCTCGGATATCTCCTATCTCCGGATGGCTTAACTATGTCGTCCGATAAGATCCAAGCTATTACTGACTGGCCGGAACCTCGGAAAGTCAAGGATATCCAATCCTTCCTCGGATTCGCAAATTTCTATAGACGGTTTATATTCAACTACTCGGATATCGTGGTTCCGTTAACACGGCTTACACGCAAGGATGCTCCGTGGAACTTTTCCGATGAATGTCGGAAATCCTTCGAGGAACTCAAGAAAGCCTTCACTACGGCTCCGGTGCTTACGCACTGGATGCCGGATGTTCCTATAGTTGTGGAAACCGATGCCTCTGACTACGCTATAGCTGGAATACTATCCATAGTATGTCCGGACTCAGAGCTTCGTCCGGTAGCGTTCTACTCTCGAACGCTAACCGCTCCGGAACTTAACTATGACACCCACGATAAGGAACTTCTAGCTATATACGAAGCTTTCCGGACCTGGCGACATTATCTAGAAGGCTCGGCCGAGCCTGTAGATGTTGTCACGGACCACAAGAACCTTGAGTACTTCGCCACTACCAAACTCCTCTCTCGCCGTCAGGCCCGCTGGTCGGAATTCCTCCATCAGTTCAATCTTGTCATCCGCTTCCGTCCCGGAAAACTCGGAGTTAAACCGGATTCCCTTACTAGACGCTGGGACGTCTATCCCAAAGAGGGGGATAAGGACTACGCTCGAGTTAACCCTCATAACTTCCGTCCGGTATTCACGTCCGAACAGTTAGCTTCGTCCCTACGAGCCTCAACCTTAGCAACTCCGGTTCTTAGAGCAGCTGTTCTAATGGATATTGATGACCTTCGGAAAGACATCCTGACCGCACTTCCTAATGACCCTATTGCAACCAACCATCTTCCGGTACCTTCAGATCCGAGATGGACAGTGGACGATAGGGGTTTCCTCCGTTGCGACAACCGTATATATGTCCCAGAATCCGATAACCTTCGACTTCGCGTCCTCCGTAATACTCATGATCACCCCTTATCCGGACATTTTGGTCAAAACCGAACCCTAGACCTCATCCGACGCGAGTATACATGGCCGGGTATACGCACCTATGTTAAGGACTACGTCCGGTCCTGCACCACCTGCGCCCGAGCCAAGGTTCCGAGACATAAACCCTACGGATTGCTCAAGCAACTACCCATACCGGAAAAGCCTTGGAATTCCATATCCATGGATTTCATAGAGCAACTTCCGGACTCATCAGGCTTTACAGCCATCCTCGTTATCATAGATCGTTTATCCAAACAAGCAATATTTGTTCCGACTCACGATACCATTACCTCTCCGGATCTCGCTCGTCTATTCCTACTTCATGTGTTTTCCAAGCACGGAGTTCCGTCCCATGTCACCTCGGATCGCGGTACAGAGTTTGTATCCCACTTCTTCCGATCCTTAGGAAAAGCATTGGATATGGTCCTCCACTTCACATCCGGATATCATCCGGAAGGGGATGGACAAACCGAGCGTGCCAACCAAACCCTGGAACAATACCTTCGGATATATTGCAATTATCAACAGGACAACTGGTCGGAACTACTTCCCTTAGCAGAATTTGCCTACAATAACGCTCCAAGTGCTACTACCGGAGTATCGCCTTTCTTTGCTAATAAGGGTTATCATCCGAACATATCCGTCCATCCGGAACGCGATCTATCCTCCATCCGCGCTCGCGACTATGCTATAGACCTCGACGACCTTCACCAATTCCTTAGAGAAGAAATGGCTCACGCCCAAGAAAGATATCAAGGACCTGCGGACGCCAAACGGAAACCTGCTCCGGATATCAATATCGGAGACCAAGTCTTTGTCAAGGCTAAGTACTTCCGGTCCACTCGTCCGTCTAAGAAACTCTCGGAAAAGAATCTAGGCCCGTTTGAAGTCATATCCCGTCCGGGTACCCATTCCTTTACCATCCGACTTCCCGAATCCATGAAATCCGTCCACCCCGTCTTCCACGTCTCACAGCTAGAACCATCCGTTCCGAACACAATTCCCAATCGGATCCAGCCTCCTCCACCTCCGGTCGAAGTCGACGGAGAACCAGAATATGAGATATCCGAAATCCTAGACTCTAAGCTGGACCGTCGTAGAAGACAATGCCAACTCTTATACCTCGTCCGATGGTCCGGATACGAAGGAACAGACGAAGAGACTTCATGGCTACTAGCCACGGAACTCGGAAACGCGTCCGATCTAGTCTCGGATTTCCACTACTGCATATCCAGACAAACCCGGTCCTATTGCTATACAATGAATATACAAAGCGGATATACAAGTACATTAGTAGCAGAGAAGGCAGATCCGAAAATCCTCAGCCATCCATCTCCATGTCCCCACCCGATCCGGATCCGGATCCGGATTCTTCAACGTCCTTGTCAGTGGCCTCAGAACGAGCCGCCTCTGTAATCCGGATTCCATTCCGGATCCCCTCAAGAAGGATGGTCTGGAACTCCCTCTGCTGCTCCAAAAACGCCTCCAAGTTAGTATTCATCCGCTCTATAGCAGTCCTACTCCCTTCCGCCGCTCCGATGCTCTGCTGGAGCAATCCGTTGGTCCGAGCCAGTTCCGCTACAATGCTATTAGCGGCCGCGACCCAGGCCTGATCATCATACTCCACTTCCACCTCATCCGCTACTACCGTCTTCATATCCGGATCCGGAGTTGGACTCTGCTGGCGTTTCTTACCCTTGCCTCTCGGAGATGGGTTCTCAGCAGCGCGCTGCCTCTTCTTAGACTTGGAATCCGTAACGGTTCCAGGTCGTCCGGGACAAGGAGCCTTGTCCTTCCGGCACGCGTTACAAGCCTTGATCTATCCGAATGTTAAGAGTCACGGATCCGAAGATTCAAGGATGACTTACCAAGGAATTGCTATCCGCATCGGACCACAGACAGGCCCGACCCTTCTTAGCGCAGCGGGTACAAGCCCCATCCTTATCCGCTGAGATGGCGCGAGACTACGGATCCGATAAGGGACGGATCCGATAGAACAAGTCATGACTCACCATTTCCGCCACTATAGCCCTGCGCCTAGCCTCCTCCGCTTCCCTTCGGGCCTCAGCCCGTTCAATCTTCTTAATCCCTGCCAAGCGCTTCCGTTCCGCCTCTTCCGCTTGTTGCTTCAGCTTTTCAGCCTCTTCCTCCTTCTGAACCTCGGCCTCAGCAGCAGCCAGCGCGGCCTGGATATCCGCCAGAGTCTGCTTAGCGGTCTTCTTAGAGCCGGATCCGTTATCAGTCATGGTTGAGATAAGCTAGTGGTAGTGAAAAAGTAGGGAAAGGAAGGAACACCCTGCGACGCTTTGGCATCCGTATATCTGTCAGAATCCGAACTCAGCAACTTCTCCCATCAGCTTCTCCATTGTCTCGCACTCATACCATCCGTTCCGGATCGCTGATTCTTGTGCCTCTAGGGATCGGCCCTAAGGGGGGGATACTGTCATATACCATATATCCGGTTACAGATCCGATGATCTGGATCTCAGATCCGATCCAGATCCGATGAACATATCCGTCGTCCGGTCCACAGATCCGCTTTGATTCTTATTTCATTTCCTGTTCATATAACTCTAACTATCGTTCATCTCCTTTCGGTATTCCTGTACACCGGTATACCGGTTATCCTTTACTTCCGCTTTGCTTACTGATCCGCTACACTTACGAATCCGCTTTTACTTGTACTTCATTCCCGGTTCATGATTCGTGATCCATCCAACTTACCAATACGCTCCACTTAGACTTTGCTTATTGATCATTCCGTTAGCTATCCGTAGTATATAAACCTTTGTATATGCGCTGTAGTAGATCAGTTCGAATATCATCTTAGATTGCACTCATTCCGTCTGGACTCTGAGTCCCTCCGTTATCCATCCGGACTTGAGTACGCTACTCTTGTCAACTCCGAGACTTAGGATAGATTCCTATAGTCTACATATCCGCCTCTGTCTTCGGACAGTCCTCACCCGTTAGTTTCTAGTCCGGATCCGATCCGGATTGGCCGTTACTCTATACACGCGATACTTTAGCTCTCTGAAATAAGGGGCAAGACTCGGGAAAGGGGCACAGCGCACGAGCTGAGGCCGAAGCCCTTCGGATCCGATACTACTTGAGTACGGTCTTAACACCTGGCACCAGAGTAACTTCTTCTCTAGTTCACACCAGCTTTCTCTAATGTCACGGTGGAGGTGTGCTTTCCCTGGCTGTCGAGCTCTGTGCACAGGGAGAACATCGAGTGGTTCAGACACTCAAACATTTGACTGTAGAAGCGAGGATTCAAGGGAATGAGAGGAAACCATGGATGAGCTCCATATGCCCAATGAGTGGTGAGGGGTAAAGTGGTGTCATCTGGAGATGAGTTGTGATCATCCTGGGGGTCCCAGGCTGGCCCGTAAGGAATATCATCGGGAAGAGAAGTTGCAGTGAGGGAGGTGAATATCTTCTGCTCGCGCACAAAGATGTTGAGGTCGCTGGTCATGTTGTCAGATGCAGACTATAGACAGGGTATCTCTCAAGGGTACAAACTGATGAGTTAGGGTGAGGAGGAGTAAGGACTATCTCAAGGGTACAAACCAATGAGTTAGTTTGATGATGATGGAGAGGAAAGGAGACCGACTTAAGTATCAGACACGACAATTGAATTATGTAATCATTCTACAATCTCTTTGAGTTCGATAGTACAAACTATCGAACTCATTATTCTTGTCTACATTTATTAAACGCCCCTCTTTCCAACATCTCATAGGTGGGCGACTTAGTCTCAAAATGACTGGATGCTGACATAAGATTATTTGGGACTATTTGTCGTGTCATCTCAAGTTTTGCCAAAGTCCTAACTACTCCTTTACTAACTACCACTACAACAACTGTTTGTACAGTTGTGTTATCTCACTTTTTTCGAGCTCAATGGTTTGTACCGTCAAGCTCATTGTTCTATAATCTCTTTGAGTTCGATAGTACAAACTATCAAGCTGTCTACACTCTACATTAACGCCCCCTTTTTCCGACAGTCTTATAGGTGGGCGACTTTGTCTCAAATAACTGGAATGCTGACATAAGATTATTTGTAGCTGTCTGTCATGCCATCTCAAATTTCATCAAATTTCTAACTACTCTTCTTTACTAGTGACTACTACACAATCATTTCTACGGTTGTGTTAGTATTATCTTACCCCTGATTTTTTCAAGCTCGATGGTTTGTACCATTGAGATCATCGTTCTTTAATATCTTTGAGTTTGATAGTTTGTACTATTGAGCACATCATTCCTGTCTAGACTACACTGTCTACAATGTCTATGCTGTTGACATTCCATACCTCACAAAGTTCCAAAGTTATTCCTTTGATGATTCATTGTCATTTGGATGGGCAAGCTCTGCTTGCCTGTTCACCTAGTAAACTTGACGCCCGACAATGCGGAGACATGTTCAGATTTGGATAATCCTTAAGAATACCCTCCACTAGACCATATGTAGGTGCACACGTGAAGGACCAATTGGTCACCCACATAAGTGCAAGCCTAGGTAAAGAACAATATGGCCGATTGCTGGAAGTACTCTTGACTTTAATTGCTTCCAGCTCAATAGTTTGTACTATCAAGCTCATCGTTTCCATCATCCCCCCCTCGGTAGTACCACAGTCCAAGTCTACACTCTTGACTTTCAACACTCTGAGCTCAATAGTTTGTGCTGTCGAGCTCATCGTTCCTTGTCGACATTTATTACGTTGTGAATATTGAATCCTTCCAATGAGTGCTCTGATCACTCTTGTCCATATAGGCCCCCGTCCAATGACCTTTGTGTGACTACTTCATGGTACCGGAATTCTGTTGCTTCTGTTGGATTGTGGTATGTAATGTCCTATCACCCCTTGTCCTGCATCTGAATAGTATCCATATAGGCAATCACCTTGTACTTTGTCATTAGCAGTTGTCTCTGATGCCTTGTTCATGAGTTGCTTTCATTTTTCCCTTGTTTTTTTTCTCTCATTTAAGTCCTGCTATACCAGGATCTACTTACTTACCAATCACCCCGGTCACACACATCCCCCATTCTTAATGCCCACGGCCTGTGCACCTCTCAAACGATGCATGTTGCAAGGAGTGCATTGGCAAAGGCAGATATGACGAGAAAGGCACACCAAAAGGAGTGCTCATGGCCCGAATGTTCACTCGCGTCTCATATCCTGCATGTAAAAGTGGAATGTGCCACAGATAGCAGTGAGATTGTTGATGTAGATTCTGTTCCACCAATCTTTCTACATGCACCATCACAGACAAACACATCATCAGTTGTCACCATCACCCACAATCTTGGTTGCTGACCCTTGCCACAGATATACTGGTCAATATTCCTTTGAGCTCAACAGTTTGTACTGGCAAGCTCATTGCCAGCTGAGTACCCATTGTTGACAATCTAAATTGTTTGTACCTTTTCACAAATACTTCCAAACATGGACATAGTACCTGTCCCGAAAAAAGGATGCAATCAGCGCACCGTGAAGGCATTGGTTATCCTTGATAACATTGAATCCCAGATCCAACAGTGCTTTTGCTTGTTACTGCACTCTGGTAGCATTGATCATGTTGATCGTGAGCTACATTTACTTCATAAAGTTGTGCAAAATGCCAGGTCGACAGACCAATATTGTCATTGCATGAAAGAAGCAATCAAAATCGCAGATAGATGTATTTGGTAGCCCAGTTGAACAGTCACAAGCTGCCCAATGATGGACCTGTCGAGATCAATACCTGTAAGTGAGTGTGTGGATCATCATGTCATCCTTTACTTATTGTTCAATAAATACCCTTCCACAAGCTCCAATTGATAATTCAGACGAAATAACCCAAATCATCCTCTTTCTTGGTGTCGCATACAGAGTCATTATGGGGGTCAGTAGAGGAGTTGTTCAATCTAATCATGAAGATCATTTCCATTGTTCTGTTTCTTGCATTCCAGAGGTCAGATAATGGCCTTAACTCCTCCACACAAATATCCTGAAGCAGATCCCAATGACCTCAGAAAGTGCTGAGGCCAGATTCCATCTCAATGGAAAAACTGTCCCTATGCTGTCTGCAGCTGCCATTGCACCTATGCACCGACTATGCACCAGGCTTGATGACCAGTATATCCTGAACGGTGCACACATCATCCTACACCCGCAACCAAATGTGGCAATGCTTTGCTTGTTGGTGTGATGGAGAATTGCGTCCCAGGAAGATTTTCCTGTACCATGATTTCAAAGATTATCTGTTCAGTCTCCTCTCTCTGTTAAGACTGTACTCAGAGTCATCGGATCCGAGGGCTTTGGCCTCAGCTCGTGCACTGTGCCCCTTTCCCGAGTCTTGCCCCTTATTTCAGAGTACTGAAGTATTGTGTCTAGTGAGACGGATAAGTTCATAATGGATCTGTTAAGGCTTCCGGAATCGGACGTAGAGTAACGGCTAATCCAGATCGGATCCGAACTAGAAACTAACGGATGAGGACTGTCTGAAGACAGAGGCGAAGATACAGACTATAGGAATCAATCCTAAGTCTCAGAGTAGACAAGATCGTACTCAAGTCCAGATGGATAACAGAGGGACTTAGAGTCCAGACGGAATGAGTGCAATCTAATGATATTTGAACTGATCTACTACAGCACATGTACAAGGGTTTATATACTACAGATAACTAACGGAATGATCAATAAGCAAAGGCACGAGGCTATGTACAAAGTATAAGCAAGTATGTGCACAGTGTATTGGTAAGTCGGATGGATCACGAATCATGAACTGGGAATGAAGTATAGTTAAAGCGGTGTGATGACAAGATATGGCTGGGCTGTAGGTAAAATCAAACCAAATATATGAGTCTCCTGCTCTCCTAGCTGCTACTCTTGCAAGAACGTTCAACCCTAAGGATCTCTGACTAGGCTCAGGCTCAAAGAAAGAGAGTGGAGAAGGTACTCCAAGTCAAGGTAAGAAAACTAGTTCCAGGAGCTATCTGGTGAGCTGAGGGAGCTACAACTAGGAAAGCTACAACTAGGGGATGCTACTAATAACCCAAGTGAATGGGGAGCAACCAAAGAACTGGAAACAGGGAAAACTAGGTAATGACTGTAGATCCTAGTAAAGGGAAGATGATTATGTAAGCAGCAAAAGTGCGAACCTAATCTAAGGAAAGTGTCAATAAGAGATGCATAGTGAAAAGTGCCTCTGCAATGCCACAGAAAGTTTGAACACCACAGCGGATCAGTAAGCATAGCGGAGTAAAGGATAGCCGGAATACCGGTGTACAGGATACTGAAAGGAGATGAATGATAGTTAGAGTTATATGAACAGGACTAAATAAGAATCAGATCGGATCTGTACCCAGATATATGGTATATGACACTCTCGCAGAGATACTGAGGCCATGATGGATCAGGCATGCAACGATCTCATGGACTCCATTGATTCCCTCATTCGTCCTTCGTCAAAACCCCCTTTGAAGCTCAATTCTCCATCAGTTCAGTGGTCCTCAGCCAGGCTCACTTTTGTTGATAGAGGAGGAAGGACGCTTGCCTTCACTCTTCATGTGGATTTTTTCACTCTGGAAGGTCTGAATATCCGCAGAGCTAGTACATCATGCAGATCATCTCTATGATGTGCTTAAATTTACCATTGGATATCAGATACAAATTGGAGAACAGTATCTGCGGGTATCATCCCAGGTCCGACGCAGCCGTCACTAGAGAATCTCAACCACTACATCCAACCGCTTATCAATGATTTGGTAGATGCATGGCAGCATGGTATTAGGTTCTCCAAAACTGCTTGTTATCCCCACACCGGCTTAATTGTAGCACTGTTGCTCTTGTCGTTTGCGACCTCCTGTTGCTCGTCATATTGCCTCTATGGCTGGAGTCGGCAGTCACTTCTACTGCAGTGCGTGCAATTGTTATCACAAGTCTACCTGTGGAAGAGTAGACTTCAAGAAGTGGGAACCTGTCATATACCATATATCCGGTTACAGATCCGATCCAGATCCGATAACATATCCGTCGTCTGGTCCACAGATCCGCTTTGATTCTTATTTCATTTCCTGTCATATAACTCTAACTATCGTTCATCTCCTTTCGGTATTCCTGTACACCGGTATACCGGTTATCCTTTACTTCCGCTATGCTTACTGATCCGCTATGCTTACTGATCCGCTACACTTACGAATCCGCTTTTACTTGTACTTCATTCCCGGTTCATGATTCGTGATCCATCCAACTTACCAATACGCTCCACTTAGACTTTGCTTATACTTTCGTACATAGCCTCGCACCTTTGCTTATGATCATTCCGTTAGCTATCCGTAGTATATAAACCTTTGTATATGCGCTGTAGTAGATCAGTTCGAATATCATCTTAGATTGCACTCATCCGTCTGGACTCTGAGTCCCTCCGTTATCCATCCGGACTTGAGTACGCTATCTTGTCTACTCCGAGACTTAGGATAGATTCCTAGTC